ATGACGCCTTTCAAATAATTTTTTTGTCATATATGCTTCAATGCGAAAGACTGAGTCTTCTTAAATTGAGAAAAATGATATTTTCATTGTGAACATAATTCTTGAAAGTTCACTACAGTGAACATCACACTTGATATGTCACTGCGGCGAACATAACACTCTGACGGAACTATTGTCATACAAGAGTTACCTGCCCGCAAATTGTCCCCCTTTTGCGTAAGCGTCTAGCCCGTACATAAACTGTTGACTTTCTCTTTACGTTAGTTCCACATTGACAAGCCAAACTAATGACAAATGGTGATATATGGAGTTATTTCGCTTCTTGCCGTGTGTCATTCGCTTTAAAATGTTTCGTTATAAACTGTAAATTTCTCAGACAATTCGTCAATCGAGACTGTTCGTTTCGCAAAGCGCCATTTGGGGTACCTGACCAGCGTGTATTCTTTCGCTTCCAACAGCTGTCTCGTAGATTTAGAGGGATATTATTTTTTTTGAAGTTGATTCTAAATTCATTAATTGATCTTAAATTGGTTCATCCGGAATGTACTGCTGGGTACACTACCATCCGAAATGACCACGTTAACTGCAGTTTATTAGTATAGAAATCATCTCAGTCGAGTATTAGTTTGTTTGTTTGTTTATTTGTTGTTTAACGCCGCACTCAGCAATATTCCAGCTATATGACGGCGGGCTGTAAACAACCGAGTCTGGACCAGACAAACCAGTGAATGACATCATGAGCGTCGATCTACGCAATTGGGATACGATGACATGCATCAACCAAGTGACTCGGCACTGTTTATACAATATACGTCTTCTACGAGTAAGCAAATGGATGTTATCTTCAAAACTGATATTTAATTCTTTAAATATATTGTGTCAAAATAAAGACAATACAAGAGTCATGCTCAAAGGTAAGTTGTCTGAGGGTCAGAACCAAAAGGACTCTAGAGGTGAGTTTGTATAAAGTTATCAGAAAAATACCAATAATGTATATTAAGTTCATCAAGCCATATCCTTTTCAAGTTTATAGAGACCGCCTCCGTGGTCTAGTGGTAGGGCGTCCGCCCGGAGAGCGGAAGGTCCGGGGTTTGATCCCCGGCCGCGTCAACCAAAAGACGTTAAAAGATGGTACTTGTTGTTCCCTGTCTGGAGCTCGGCATTAAGGGGCTAAAACAAGGACTGGTCGGCTCGGAGTCAGTATACTGTGTCTGAGTGGGGTATTCATGTTAAACTGCGGCATGGTATCTCAGTGAGCTAGCACTATAAATCGGCATCAGTCTTAACTAGTACAAGCAGCCACACAAACACACACACGTACATGCACGTCGCTATATAAGTGCAATAATCTTGGACGCGACGTTAGCCCAATTTCACCTCACCACCTAAGTTTATAGATACATAGAGGTCACATAACAAAGTCTAAAAATGATTATTTTAGGGAAGAAAATAGTCTTAACTAAAACTTTTTATGCATTTAAGATTAAACTAAGAACCGAAATGGCCTTAAACCACCGATGGGCCCTTTTCGTCCTAACTGCTAAACAAATTTACAACAATGTTAAGTGATATATAAAGATTATTTTTTTTACAAATGGAACATGTACAATATGGTAAAAGACAACTACATAGATTTAAAACGTGAAAATTCGTCACCTGATAATGCACTTAAATGGTTAACATCAACTCCAGATAGCATTAGTATAGGCCAACATCATATAAAAGTTTGACTATTATTGTCAAGCAATTTGCATAGTTTCAAATCAGAATCAAAGAAAAAATTCCCTTAAAATTCTGCATGAGCGAATTTGAAAAATCAACGTATCAAAAGATTACAGTAACTGCCAATAAAGTGAAAAATATATGATTAAATTAGACTGTGATTCTGCACAATGGAATTTTATAAATCATTGAGTAAGCAAAACTACGTCAGCAACATAAAACATAATTCAACCGCAGCAAAATATCAATAACATGAAAGTAACTGCCAATCAATTGAACAATTCCCATTATGGTAGTGATGCTATATTAGGGTATTTGACAACTCAGTAGAGAGCCTAAACTTCATCCATAATGTCAACTGCAGCAAAATATCAATAACATATGTGTAACTGCCAATCAATTGAACAATTCCCATTATGGTAGTGATGCTGTATTGGGGTATTTGACAACTCAGTAGCAAGCCTAAACTTCTACCATAATGTCAACTGCAGCAAAATGTCAATACCATAAAAGTAACTGCCAATCAACTGAACAATTCCCATTGTGGTAGTGATGCTGTATTGGGGTATTTGACAAATCAGTAGTGAGCCTAAACTTCTACCATAATGTCAACTGCAGCTGTGCATCAAGAACTTAAAAGTAACTGCCAATCAATTGAACAATTCCCATTGTGGTAGTGATGCTGCCTTGGGGTATTTGACAACTCAGTAGTAAGCATTAACTTCTACCATAATGTCAACTGCAGCTGTGCATCAAGAACTTAAAAGTAACTGCCAATCAATTGAACAATTCCCATTGTAGTAGTGATGCTGCTTTGGGGTATTTGACAACTCAGTAGTAAGCCTAAACTTCTACAATAATGTCAACTGCAGCTGTGCATCAATAAGATGAAAGTAACTGCAAATCAATTGCTTGTTCGTTGTTTAACGCCGCACCCGGCAATATTCCAGCCAAATGGCGGCGACAATCAACTGAACAACTTCCCACTTTGGAAGAAGTTCTGCACAATGCAAATATAGCATATTACCTTGCGAACATACAAATCATGAAACGTGTCGGTAACAGCCAAACAACTTTCACGTTCTGCAATCTTGTATGATATTAAGCATAAACCTTTTCTGGAATCATCAAGAGAAAATGGAAAATAACCCAAGGCGGCAGAGAACGTGTACAGAAGACGTTGGTAATCGTAGCTGCATATGATCCATATGTTTAGGTGGCAAACTTGTGACAATGACAATGGGTGAGTGAGTGAGTGAGTTGGGTTTAACGCCGCTTTTAACAGTATTCCAGTTACAGTGAGTGAGTGAGTGAGATTGGTTTTACGCCGCTTTTAGCAATATTCCAGCATTATCACGGCGGGGGACACCAGAAATGGGCTTCACGTTTTGTACCCATGTCGGGATTCGAACCCGGGTCTTCGGCGTGACGAGCGAACGCCTTAACCACTGGGCTACCCGACCGCCCCTATTCCAGTTACATCACGGCGTGTCAGCTTAATGTGGGAGGAAAGCCCGAAGTGATGCAGGTCTCAGACGTTTACCACTTCGGTGAAACCCACGAGCACGGGTATGGTGCTGACAAACCTAGAAACATAATCGGGGTGAACCGGGATTCGAACCCACAATCATAGGTTTCTGGCGTGCCTAAGGGACGCAACTCTGCACAGCGAATCGAAACCCCTTTCGAGGTTACAGTCATAACAATCTCAATTATAAAAATATTTCTACCAATTATAATAAAGTCATTTATTCTACACAAACAATATCAATCACAATTCATCAAACAATTCAATTTCTTTGAAAAACTATGAGTACATGAGAACTAATCTTTATTAATGGAAGATCCTTATAGAGAAAACTTTGAAATATTGATACTTTGTGATGGAAAAAACAGGACAGTCAGGACATGCTTGACTGATATTATCATCACAAGGGATCCTCACCTTTCAATACATAGTCATGTTTGTTTGTTTGTTGTTTAACGCCGCACTCAGCAATATTCCAACTTTATGACGGCGGTCTGTAAATAATCGAATCTGGGCCAGACAATCCAGTGATTGACAGCATGAGCATCGATCCACGCCATTGGGATACGATGACATGCATCAACCATGTCAGCGACCCTGACCCCCCGATCCCGTTAGTTGCCTCTTACGACAAGCATAGTTGCCTCTTACGACAAGCATAGTTGCCTTTTACGACAAGCATAGTTGCCTTTTACGACAATCATAGTCGCCTTTTACGGCAATCATTGGTTGCTGAAGACCTATTCTATGAGGTATCGTTGATGGCCAATACAACATTTGAAATGACGTCATCAAATCTGGACCGATAACCCAAGTAGGTGTAACCGATAATTGGATTCATACCATGTAATTTATTTATACCCACTTAGGTGTCACACTTCTTTTGCACAGACTTATAATCAGTGTATGGGAGCAGAAGTGGTGTCACAGATTTGTTGAGTGCTGTTTTAGCTGCAGCATCAGTCATTGTATTACCAACGATTCCAACATGGCTGGGTAACCAGCAAAAGACAACGTCGAATTCATCAGAATTTATCTTGTCAAAATCATTGGACGAAACAGATGAATTCTTTGTTTGTTTGTTGTTTAACTCCGTTCTCAGCAATATTCCAAAGTGGTCTGTAACTATTCGAATCTGGACCAGACAATCCATTGACGAACATCATGAGCATCGATCCACGCAATTGGAATACGATGACATACATCAACCAAGTCAGCGAGCCTGACCACCCAATCCCGTTAGTCTTTTACGACAAGCATGGGTTGCTGAAGACCAGCTCTAACCCGGATCTTCACGGGAGACAAGTATGGGTTGCTGAAGGCCAATTCCAACTTGGATCTGTGCGGGGTACATGTAATAATACGCTATGATTTCAACAATACAGTCTTTTCAAGAAGCGTTACTGTTATGTGAGTATTAATAAACTACAATACTTGTCACAATTAGACACCGATGTAAATTATTGCGAGTGTTTCGCAAAGGTGCTGGGGGGCACGGGTGGCCCAGTCATCTAAGGCGCTGCGATTAGCTGTGCAGAGTTGCGTCCCTTAGGCACGCCAGAAACCTATGATTGTGGGTTCGAATCCCTGTTCGCCCCGATTATGTTTCTAGGTTTGTCAGCACCATACCCGTGCTCGTGGGTTTCACGGAAGTGGTAAACGTCTGAGACCTGCATCACTTGGGGCTTTCCTCCAATATTAAGCTGACACGCCTTATTATGACTGGAATGAGGTTAAAAGCGGGGTTAAACCCAACTCACTCACTCACTTCCATCCTTTAGTATGAATTAGTTGTATTAAAAATAGTTAAAGTATTAAAAGTATAATATTCGCCATATGTCTGTGAATGGAATGCGACGTTAGCTAATAACTCACTCACTCGACATACTTTTCGTATGACTGTCTGATCTTTATTTCTCAATGTTACAGAAATAGCATTTGTGAGTTTTGTTCGTTGTCGACACAGTGATTAACATCACAAGTGTCGACCCACGTACAAGTGTCGACCTTCTGACACAATGACATGCAGTCAACAAAGTCACTGAGCCTGACCATTCGAACCATTTACTCGCCTTACGACAAGCATAGGTTCCTGAGGACCCTTTTTTCTGCGACTAACTTCATTTTTGTCTTTCCTTGGTCTGGATGTGATAAAAATGAAATACTGTTCGAAGCGTCGTAAAGTCTTACTCCATCAAAAGAAGATTACTCGACGAAAGAACTTGTTTGCAAATCTTTTTCTTTCTCTTTTATTTTTGCTTAATAGAGCAGGAATGTGATGTAGAAATACAATTTAGAATACACATTAACGTGTATCACTCGTTAAATTATCCAATGTCTATACGTATTTACAATACCCACACACATGAATCATCTTCTCAAGGCAAGGGTGATCACTGACAATGAAAGTCCAGTTTCCACCCTTGCCGAACCGGCCTGGAGTTCTTGGCTCGATCGCAGCGCCACCGGTGTCCATTACGAGTTATGTCCCTTATATGTCCCTCTATTGACCCTCAGATTCCACCTCTCATATCGAAACGAAATGGCGGCACCCAGTAAAGACCATCTGATCGATAATCAAATCTATCTTGTAATAAAACGGGTCTTACTTCGCGAAGTGCATCAAATCAGGTGAATACCTTGAATAAAAACATAAAAAATATCTGTTGACGCCGATCTGTCTACGCAAATCCTGCAACGGCGACTAACGGGATTGGGTGGTCAGGCTCGCTGACTTGGTTTATGCATGTCATCGTATTCGTGGATGGATGCTCATGATGTCAATCACTGGATTGTCTGGTTCAGACTCGAATATTTACAAACCGCCGTCATATAGCTGGAATATTGCTAAGTGCGACGTTAAACAACCAACAAAGAGATCTTCTCAAACCGGATGTCGACCGATGATTGGACTATGCATAGACTCGTTAGTCCAGCCAAAATATTACTCCGAAATTCCAGTCTAGTTTAGCAAGGATGGACACTGGACTTTCATAGTCAGTAAATTCCCTTGCCTCGGGAAGATGATATGAATAAGCATTAGTTCAATTTGTCGTTCACGACCCATTCATCTCATTTTCGTCAGGACCCTCGTTTTCCTGAATCTGGAAGATAGCGGATCTTTGCAACACGTTGTGCATCCCCGCCATTTTGTCTACAGCGCCATCTTGTGTTTTCTTGATGCTATGACGACGTAGAATCCGACCCCTGTCAGTATTTAAGGAAAGACGTCTTTCCACTGATCTCGGTGTGCCCGCGTCTGCGTCGAGAGATCGCGAGGACTGTAGTTTGGCTGAGCCACACGTGTTCAGGCTTGGGAACAACGTCGGCATGGACATCCTCCTCCTTGAATCGCCGTCACTATGAACAATCTTTTGGGCTAGCTGAAAATAAGAAATCAGTTGTGAGGTTAACAACAACAGCATTGCTCGAATTCTTTCCTGCAAGAATGACGTTTATTATGAGTGAGTGAGTTGTTTTAGTTGGGTATTAGATTGCTGATGCAATATTGCAGACATGTTAAAGGGAAACAACACTCCAACTTTCAGTCGTCTAGCCGGCGCCATTTTGATTAGCCCGCGTAATCTCCAGAACCCAATCAGCGCCAGCGACCCAACAAACTGGGCTTCTGACCAGCTAGGGGACCCGTGAAGATCCGGGGTAGAATAGGTCTTCAGCAACCCATGCTTGCTGTAAAAGGCTACTATGCTTGTCGTAAGAGGCGATAAACGGGATCGGCTGGTCAGGCTCGCTGACTTGGTTGATGCATGTCATTGTATCCCAATTGCATGGGTCAATGCTCATGATGTCAATCACTGGATTGTCTGGTCCAGACATAATTATTTAATTTATTTAATCGATTGCCCATTGTTATTAAACTCCATGGATTTTTTACTGTGGACATCATGAACATAGTTGTCACGTGTGCTATCTCAGCTGGCCAATGAGATCATTGCATTACAAAATTCTTTGAAGTCATATATTTTGCGTATTTTTTAACCGAATCGCCCGTAGATTGGTAGAAAATGTGTGTACAGCTGATTGCTGTTTCCAGCTTAGTTTACGAGAAAATACACACAGTAATCTATATTTCTGCATATAACGCAATGCCTAGCAGAACGGGAAATACAATTAAATGGTAAATTTATGGTGATTATGGTGTTTGGTGATAATTTATCTGAATTTCACATTTGTTTTTATCCCCTTTCGCGACGACTGCTTGGGTATAGGGGTGCATTCTAGGGTTCTAGATATGCATTCTTTGGTTCTATGGATGCATTCTTGGGTTCTATGGATGTATTTTAGGGTATGTGTGTGTGTGTGTGTGTGTGTGTGTGTGTGTGTGTGTGTGTGTGTGTGTGTGTGTGTGTTTGCGTTTGTTTCTATAAGTTTATTTTACACAGTATTTACACGATATTATATTAAAATGGAGACGGAGCCAGTCTAGTTGCTTATATGCATGAATAAAACGTATTAGTGAAAATGGATAAAATAGTAATAACGCCCATATACTAATGTTATTTGTGTACATTGAATACTTATATCAGTTGAATACATAAAGATGGCGTTCTATGGTGGTGTGGGTTTTCTTTTTATAGGTAAATGACCTTAAACAGCAAAAATGGACACACCAAAGACAAGAAACATGCACGATGTGTTACATTTGATTCCTTTTGTCTGGACCCCGGATCTGTCGAACTATTTCTCTGGTCCATTAAAGCTCGCGACAAAGGGATTCGACTATTATTGTGGTCGAATTAATCAGCTTAACGAACCATCAAACGCTTAAGCCATTTATATTACATCAGTAACGAGTGTTTATGAACAGTAGATTAAATTCTATCAACAGGTAATTCTTTACAAAATGTAAGTTGATAGTTCCATGTATTTCTGAATGAGAGGTACCGGTAATGTTTGTTTGTTTCTTTGTTTGTTGTGTGACGCCGCACTCAGCAATATTCCAGCTATATGTAAATAATCGAGTCTGGACCAGACAATTCAGTGATTGACATTATGAGCATCGATCCACGCAGTTGGGATACGATGACAAGCATCAACCAAGTCAGCGAACCTGACCACCCGATGCCGTTAGTCGCCTCTTACGACAAGCATAGTCGCCTTTTACGGCAAGCATGGGTTGCTGAAGACCGTTCTACCCCGGATCTTCACGTGCTCATAATAAGGGGGCCGGTCGGGTAGCGTAGTGGTTAAAGCGTTCGCTCGTCACGCCGAAGACCCGGGTTCGATTCCCGACATGGGTACAATATGTGAAGCCCATTTCTGGTGTCCCCCGTCGTGATATTGCTGGAATATTACTAAAAGCGGCGTAAAACCATACTCACTCACTCATAATAAGGACATGTGAATCAGACGAATGTCTTTTGTATCATTATAATCATGGTCTAATTCCTAACTTTTGAAATTTATAATCAGCTGACCCTTCTTAAAATCAGTTAGCGTACGTAATAAAAAACAACATTTGGACATTGGCCGATTCTACTTTGATTTCCACGGTCGTGTTGACCTTCTCCCGATCTGAACTATTGCCAATTTAAATAAGATTGATGACTTATGTGCCCACCTACCTTATCTGTTTCAGGTGTCTGTGAAAACGTAAATCCCTTTCCGCTTGATCTCGAGATGACGCTTAGAGAGGTCAAGGTTGATGTGTCGCTGTTACGTCTCTGAACAAGGGAGAGAACTCTTGCTGGACTCATTGCTCTTTTTGCCCTCTCTACATCCTGAAGGTCTGAATTCCGGTTCTTGGTGGCATCGGCTGACTTGGGAAGGTGGTCTCTGGACGGAGGAACCGACAAGCGACGGCCATTTTTTCCCAAGTCGACAGAAATTGAACGAGAAATCGATATGGATTCCGGTGTCGGTGACATGCGGACATAACCCGGATGTGAAACCTCTGGTCCAGATTCATTTCCGTTTCTTCTGTCCGCTTTTGACGAACGTTGGCGATTCCGTAGTCTATTTTGATCCTGCTGCTGTAGTTGTAAGCTGTTACATATCATACGTCTTTCACTATCTATAACTTCCAATGATCGTCTTCGTTGTACGTCCAGCTTGTCCAACCGTACTTTCAGATGGTGTTTCTCCGTTGATAGCCGCTGTTTTTGAGAAACAGACAGTTCGGACAAAAATTCATGCGTTGGCCTCCGTTCCTTTCTTGGGATGGACATATTCCTTCATATGAAAGATAAGAAAAGATTGGTTCTGCGTTTGCAACAGATGATGACGAAAATACCTTTTTGAATTTCAGAACATGTTCAAATTTATCTCCTGCTATTTGTTTGTTTGTTTGTTGTTTAACGTCGAACTCATCAATAATCCAACTATATGACGGCGGTCTGTAAATAATCGAGTCTGGACCATTTAATCAACCCCATCCCGATGGTCGCCCCTTTCGACAAGCACGGGTTGATGAAGACTAATTTTGACCCAATCTCATTCAAACCAGATCTAAGTTCTCGCTACCGCCAAAGAAAGATCTGAGGACATCCCATGACGGGTCACGTCAGAACGACCTTTCATCCAACCTTACCAGATCATGACAGTGACGGACGCGGTGTTTACTCATCATGCAATCTCGAAAAAATTAACGGAGGGTATTCCGAACGACAGTTACGTTGTTGTTTTTTATTATACATGTATCCATACAATCTAGGCCATCTATAAGCCATTCCAGAATGTTCTTTTTATAAGTTTTAATGTTTTAAATAGAGAATACGTCAAAATATGTTTCGAAGCGTAGTCGACAGTTTGAAACTTGTGTCTCAAAGCTCGAGAAAGCTGCCTTCTGATTAGCTAATGTCGATTGCTAGTCAGTCATTTCATTGGTCGGTCAAAGTTCGCGAAAGGGCGTTCTGACGTGACCCGTTATGGGATGTCCTCAGATCTTTGTTTAGCAGTACCGAAAACTAAGATCTGATTTTAATGAGATTGATTCGGGTAATCCTATAGAATACAGAAGTTTTTACACACTCATCGTACACATCGGCTAGTTGCCGGCAGAATATTAAACAGTGTTACATGTAGTTCCTATATGTTTCTACGACAGGAATATTTACATACACGTTGCACACATAGGCTAAACGTTTGCTCCTAGAAAAGTCACACGAACCTGCCGTCAGAATATAAAACTCTCGGATGTTGCCCATAGGTATCTACAACATAAATATTGTACATACAGGCCCCTGCAGCATAAATATTGTACATGCAGGCCTCTGCAGCATAAATATTGTACATACAGGCCTCTGCAGCATAAATATTGTACATACAGGCCTCTGCAGCATTAATATTGTACATACAGGCCCCTGCAGCATAAATATTGTACATGCAAGCCTCTGCAGCATAAAAATTATTCATACAGGCCTCTGCAGCATAAATATTATACATACAGGCCTCTGCAGCATAAATATTGTACATACGGGCTTCTGCAGCATAAATATTGTACATACAGGCCTCTGCAGCATAAATATTATACATCTACAACATACATATTGTACATACAGGCCTCTGCAGCATAAATATTGTACATCTACGCATCTACAACTTAAATATTATACATCTACGCATCTACAACATAAATATTGAACAAATACGTATCTGCAGCATAAATATTGTACAAATACGTATCTATAGCATAAATATTGTACAAATACGTATCTACAACATAAATATTGAAAAATTCGTATCTATAGCATAAATATTGTACAAATACGTATCTACAACATAAATATTGTACAAATACGCATCTACAACATAGATATTGTACAAATACGCATCTACAACATAAATATTGTACAAATACGTATCTACAACATAAATTTTGAACATACAGGTATCTTCAGTAAAAATATTATGCATCTATAACATTCATTTTATACAAATACGTATCTATAACTCAGATATTGTCCAAATACGCATCTACAACAGAGATATTGTACAAATACGCAATACAACATAAATATTGTACAAATACGTATCTACAACATAAATTTTGAACATACAGGTATCTTCAGTATAAATATTATGCATCTATAACATAAATGTTGTACAAATACGTATATATAACATAAATATTGTACAAATACGCATCTAAAACATACATATTGTACAAATGCGCATCTATAACATAAATATTGTACATATATGATCAACATAAGGGCTAAAATATTTCGTATATCAAAGTAACACCCACCTGCCGTCAGAATATATATCCGTCACAGGTAGTTTTCCCTATCCGTTTGTAGTCCGTCTCTATATTGATTGGTAAATTTGGCACTAACTATAAATACATATTAAGCCGAGGCCTGATCATTGATCCAATTATTCAATATCAATATACCCCAGGCAATAATCCGTAATCTTTATTGATACTGTAAAGTGATGATTAATATAACTGTTAGACTTTATTGTTTGCAAACAATAATGTCCAGTTTTCATGTCACGCTGTTTGTATTGTTTTTATGAATGGAATTTATTAGTTGTCTTATTATGACTGTGTTCGAGAAATGTTGATTTCTGCCATGGTATCCAGCGTTTGGGGTCACACGATATATTCTAATCCGCTTAATTCAATCTGATCATAGTTGGCAGAATACCCTGGGTCATTAAGGTGCAACTGGTCACATCAAATATAAGCATATTACCGCGTATTATCGGATTAACAGGCCCGTTGTGTGAGATAAATATGTACGAAAAAATATTATAAGTACTCGTTGTATATGAGAAAGTGTAAATTCTTATGAATTGTGAAAGGTTATGAAACGTTAATAAATTCATACTTCTAATTTTTGGGTCAAAGCATAACATTTTTCTTTGTAATCCTTTCAGTTTTGTTTGATACGTTCACAAAGATGTGTCTTATCAAATGTGACACAATATGCAGCCATTTACGGATATACATAACTGTACGTTACATTTAATATTATCTATCTAGCCACAATTGACTTGGATAATTGTCTATTGCCACAGCGGATAAATACTTGTAGCTGTCACGGTGATATTTACCTGGTCCCAGCATGAGGATAATGGATAACGTTTATTTATAGCACACAGATAACCTAATTATTTACCTAGTTAGAGCGTTTAGATACCCTTGATATTTATCTCGTCACACGTAGAAAACCTTGATGTTTACCTAGTCACAGCACATACATAACCTTGATGATATTGACCTTGTCACAGCACATGGATAACCTTGATATTTACCTAGTCACAGCACATAGATAACCTAAATGATATTTACCTAGTCACAGCACATAGATAACGCTGATGATATTTACCTTGTCACAGCCATAGATAACCTCGATATTTACCTAGTCACAGCACATAGATAACCTTAACGATATTTACCTAGTCACAGCACATAGATAACCTAAATGATATTTACTTAGTCACAGTACATAGATAACCTTGATATTTACCTTGTCGCAGCACATAGATAACCTTGATATTTACCTAGTCACAGCACATAGATAACCTTAATGATATTTACCTAGTCACAGCACATAGATAACCTTAACGATATTTACCTAGTCACAGCACATAGATAACCTTAATGATATTTACCTAGTCACAGCACATAGATAACCTTAATGATATTTACCTTGTCACATCACATAGATAACGCTGATGATATTTACCTAGTCACAGCCATAGATAACCTCGATATTTACCAAGTCACAGCACATGGATAACCTTGATATTTATGTCATTGCAGCTCATTGCAGATAACCTTGATATTTACCTAGTCACAGCACATAGATAACCTTAATGATATTTACCTAGTCACAGCACATAGATAACGCTGATGATATTTACCTTGTCACAGCCATAGATAACCTCTGTATTTACCTAGTCACAGCACATAGATACCCTTAACGATATTTACCTAGTCACAGCACATAAATAACCTAAATGATATTTACTTAGTCACAGTACATAGATAACCTTGATATTTACCTTGTCGCAGCACATAGATAACCTTAACGATATTTACCTAGTCACAGCACATAGATAATCTTAACGATATTTACCTAGTCACAGCACATAGATAATGCTGATTATATTTACTTAGTCACAGTACATAAATAACCTTAATGATATTTACCTTGTCGCAGCACATAGATAACCTTGATATTTACCTAGTCACAGCACATAGATAACCTTAATGATATTTCCTTAGTCACAGCACATAGATAACGCTGATGATATTTACCTAGTCACAGCCATAGATAACTTTAATGATATTTACCTAGTCACAGCACATAGATAACGCTGATGATATTTACCTAGTCACAGCCATAGATAACCTCGATATTTACCAAGTCACAGCACATGGATAACCTTGATATTTATGTCATTGCAGCTCATTGAAGATAACCTTGATATTTACCTAGTCACAGCACATAGATAACCTTAATCATATTTACCTAGTCACAGCACATAGATAACCTTAATGATATTGACCTTGTCACAGCACATAGATAACCTTAATGATATTGACCTTGTCACAGCACATTGATAACCTTGATATTTACCTAGTCACAGCACATAGATAACCTAAATGATATTTACCTAGTCACAGCCATAGATAACGCTGATGATATTTACCTTGTCACAGCCATAGATAACCTCTGTATTTACCTAGTCACAGCACATAAATAACCTAAATGATATTTACTTAGTCACAGTACATAGATAACCTTGATATTTACCTTGTCGCAGCACATAGATAACCTTAACGATATTTACCTAGTCACAGCACATAGATAATCTTAACGGTATTTACCTAGTCACAGCACATAGATAACGCTGATGATATTTACCTTGTCACAGCCATAGATAACCTCTGTATTTACCTAGTCACAGCACATAGATAACCTTAACGATATTTACCTAGTCACAGCACATAAATAACCTAAATGATATTTACCTAGTCACAGTACATAGATAACCTTGATATTTACCTTGTCGCAGCACATAGATAACCTTAACGATATTTACCTAGTCACAGCACATAGATAATCTCAACGGTATTTACCTAGTCACAGCACATAGATAATGCTGATTATATTTACTTAGTCACAGTACATAAATAACCTTAATGATATTTACCTAGTCACAGCACATAGATAACCTTAACGGTATTTACCTAGTCACAGCACATAGATAACGCTGATGATATTTACCTTGTCACAGCCATAGATAACCTCTGTATTTACCTAGTCACAGCACATAGATAACCTTAACGATATTTACCTAGTCACAGCACATAAATAACCTAAATGATATTTACTTAGTCACAGTACATAGATAACCTTGATATTTACCTTGTCGCAGCACATAGATAACCTTAACGATATTTACCTAGTCACAGCACATAGATAATCTTAACGGTATTTACCTAGTCACAGCACATAGATAACGCTGATGATATTTACCTTGTCACAGCCATAGATAACCTCTGTATTTACCTAGTCACAGCACATAGATAACCTTAACGATATTTACCTAGTCACAGCACATAAATAACCTAAATGATATTTACTTAGTCACAGTACATAGATAACCTTGATATTTACCTTGTCGCAGCACATAGATAACCTTAACGATATTTACCTAGTCACAGCACATAGATAATCTTAACGGTATTTACCTAGTCACAGCACATAGATAACGCTGATGATATTTACCTTGTCACAGCCATAGATAACCTCTGTATTTACCTAGTCACAGCACATAGATAACCTTAACGATATTTACCTAGTCACAGCACATAAATAACCTAAATGATATTTACTTAGTCACAGTACATAGATAACCTTGATATTTACCTTGTCGCAGCACATAGATAACCTTAACGATATTTACCTAGTCACAGCACATAGATAATCTTAACGGTATTTACCTAGTCACAGCACATAGATAATGCTGATTATATTTACTTAGTCACAGTACATAAATAACCTTAATGATATTTACCTAGTCACAGCACATAGATAACCTAAATGATATTTACTTAGTCACAGTACATAGATAACCTTGATATTTACCTTGTCGCAGCACATAGATAACCTTGATATTTACCTAGTCACAGCACATAGATAACCTTAATGATATTTACCTAGTCACAGCACATAGATAACCTTAACGATATTTACCTAGTCACAGCACATAGATAACCTTAATATTTACCTAGTCACAGCACATAGATAACCTTAATGATATTTACCTTGTCACATCACATAGATAACGCTGATGATATTTACCTAGTCACAGCCATAGATAACCTCGATATTTACCTAGTCACAGCACATGGATAACCTTGATATTTACTTCATTGCAGCTCATTGCAGATAACCTTGATATTTACCTAGTCACAGCACATAGATAACCTTATTCATATTTACCTAGTCACAGCATATAGATAAAGCTGATGATATTTACCTAGTCACAGCCATAGATAACCTCGAAATTAACCTAGTCACAGCACATGGATAACCTTGATATTTACTTCATTGCAGCTCATTGCAGATAACCTTGATATTTACCTAGTCACAGCACATAGATAACCTTAACGATATTTACCTAGTCACAGCACATAGATAACCTTAATATTTACCTAGTCACAGCACATAGATAACCTTAATGATATTTACCTAGTCACAGCACATAGATAACGCTGGTGATATTTACCTGGTCACAGCCATAGATAACCTCGATATTAACCTAGTCACAGCACATGGATAACCTTGATATTTACTTCATTCCAGCTCATTGCAGATAACATTGATATTTACCTAGTCACAGCACGTAGATAACCTTAACGATATTTACCTAGTCACAGCACATAGATAACCTTAATATTTACCTAGTCACAGCACATAGATAACCTTAATGATATTTACCTAGTCACAGCACATAGATAACGCTGATGATATTTACCTAGTCACAGCCATAGATAACCTCGATATTAACCTAGTCACAGCACATGGATAACCTTGATATTTACTTCATTGCAGCTCATTGCAGATAACCTTGATATTTACCTAGTCACAGCACATAGATAACCTTAACGATATTTACCTAGTCACAGCACATAGATAACCTTAATATTTACTTAGTCACAGCACATAGATAACCTTAATGATATTTACCTAGTCACAGCACATAGATAACCTAAATGATACTTACCTAGTCACAGCCATAGATAACCTCGATATTTACCTAGTCACAGCACACAGATAACCTAAATGACATTTACTTAGTTACAGCACATAGATAACCTTGATATTTACCTTGTCGCAGCACATAGATAACCTTGATATTTACCTAGTCACGGCACATAGATAACCTTAACGATATTTACCCTTGTTACAGTACATAACTAACCTTGATATTTACCTTCAGTATTCCATCAATATCACAACGGGGATTCGAGAAATGGGTTTCACGCGTTTACCCACATGGGGAATCAAACCTGGACCTTCCGCGTGACGAGCGAACGCTTTAACCCCTAGGCTACCCCACCGCCCTTCAATGTGTGTTAGTGTCAGGCTGCGTGTGTTAGTGTATGTGACTGATGTGTGTGTTAGTATGTGTGTATCTGCTAGTGTGTGTATGTGTGTTAGTGTCTGCCTATGTGTTTAAGTGTATGTGAGTGCTGTTTGTGTGTGTGTGTGTGTGTGACCTCACAGCTTATCATATCCTCCTTGAGCTGTATTCTTCATCCGTAAACCATGATGCCATCAGTATAATAACTAGAATATCACAGATTTACATAAAACTAGTTAGAGAGCATGTAAAAATATATTATCATTTTGCAACACAAACAAACAGTTGAGTAAAAAATAGTTGTTGAAACATCAACCTGTAGTATGACAGTTGGTTACTGAATTCCCAGTCTCCCTTCCCTTCATTTTACTTAAATTCTAACACATTCTACAAAGAAAGGATCGACTTCTGGAACGCGTTATGCCATCTGTACTCAAACCAAAGTCCGTCAAATTCAAGATTTTCGTTGAGTAATTCTTGTATCCTCGAATGTGATAAATCCTTATATTAGTCTCTTGCGTAATGCCAAATTTGTAAATCCTTTTCACTACCGGGGCACTCGGTATGTTCAAAACAAATGTAATCATCCATATGTATGTAGTTCTGTTTCCAGGTGACTTTGTTCTCCAGTGTGACGGTGCAATTATAACGGCTTGCTTTACTTTCCATACTTCGTCGAGAGCTGCAATGAAGCGTATCGACGTTGTTCTAAATAAAATCGACAAAATCCTTTCCATATTCAAAAGAAATATCTGCTAAAAGCAGAGTCGATAGTATGATTCTGATTATATCATGAACATGTGTTTATGCATCACTATCACTGTTGATAACAGGTGTTCGCGAAAATGTGAGCGATCCTTCCCTGCCGCTGGCACCCGTCACAAACACATGCAAAGGCAAGTCAAGTGTTCACCTGAAAATACATGGTGACATATGTCAATCTACGGGATTTCATCGGACGTCATTTTTGTCACTGGTGCCGTTCACTGTACCATAAGCATGTGGTTATGAATCACTATCAAATAGTAATGACATCTTGTACCACCCATTAGAACGCGGGGTAAAACAGGTCTTCGGCAACCAACCCGCAAGGTGCGACTAACGGAATCGGGTGGTCAGGCTCGCTGACTTGCTTGATGTCATCGTATCCCAATTGCGTGGATCGATCCTCATGATGTCAATCACTGGATTGTCTGGTGCAGACTCGATTATTTACAGACCGCCGTCATATAGCTGGAATACCGCTGAGTGCGGCGTTAAACAACGAACCAACCAACAACCATTTGCAAGGCATTCTTACATGTACTAAGTTGACCTCGAATGGGACGGTGCATGATTCGCCTACTATAGGTTATCCAGAACGGCATCCGTATTGTTTTCTGACATAAACCTTTCATTTGCAAGATGTTCATTAATTCCTGAATTTGTCCTTGAATGTGACGCTCGGTATGTTTTACCGACTACAGGTTATCGAGAGTTCCATTCCCATTGTTGGCTAGTTAATACCCTAAAAAGCGACTGTGCTTGTCGTAAGACGCGACTAACGGGATCGGGTGGTCACTGGATTGTCTGAACTAATACAGCTGGAATATTGCTGAGTTCGGCATCAACCAACAAACAAACAAATAAAGAAAGAAAACCATGTCAACCTGGACCCGTGAAGAGCCGGGGTGGAATAGGCTTTCAGCAACAGGCGACTATGCTTGACAAACGGGATCGGGTGGTCTGGCTCGATGACATGGTTGATGCATGTTATCGTATCCCAATTGCATGGATCGATGCTCATGGTGTCAATCAGTGGATTGTCTGGTCCAGACTCGATTATTTACAGACCGCCGTCATAAAGCTGGAATATTGCTGAGTTCGGCGTTAAACAACAAACCAACAACAACAGGTGACGAAGATGACGTCTCAATGATCATGGAGGTCGCAATTTCACAGTGCAGTCATAAAAGTGAATTTGCAAGCGTATACTTTCTTTTGCCCAGTAGTGTTTCACTGACTCAGGTTATCGTACACTGAACATTCTGAATCCACGTATACTGAATCTGTAGCTGTCAATATGCACGGCATAGCTCAAACTGATTGGTTGCTTGTTGTTTAACGCCGCACTCAGCAGTACTACAGCTGCATGACGACGGAACTGTAAATAATCAAATCTGGACCAGAAAATCTCGTAAATGACATCATAAGCATCGATCTACCAACTGGGATACGATGACATGCACTAACCAAGTCAGCGAGTCTGACCACCGTTCCCGTTAGTCACCCCTCACTTTCAAGCATGGGTTGCTGAAGACCAATTCTAACCAGGATCTTCACGGTCTGATGACTGATATGACCAGGCAATGAAATTTTCGTTACTTACACCGATTAATCGCCGTCAACGCTGTCACCAGTAGGAGCATCCTTGTGTTGGCAGATGCTGAAACCCGTTTCTATTTCTCAACTTTATCATGTGCATAATGCAACCCATCCCGGGAGAAGCACGCCGATGGCTCAATCATCAGACAAGCACTATCCAAACCTGGTGTGGTCAATTTGGCTTAATCCAGGTAAACAATCTGAATACACTGCAATCCACGCATGCTGGGAGAGCACGACAGCTACGGTAATTAACAAATAAAAGTCCTGGTTGGAATGTATTGTCAACGCTATGGGGTTTTGCACAGCTATAGAATATCCATTTCAACTGCTCATAAACGCAGGGGGCGCCTGCTTCCGTCTCGAATGAAATACCTATCGATCAAATATTGACGTGGAAATGGATTGTATTCTGACAATGCTTCACCGTTCCATGTGAAAATAAGTTGTTGTTGTTGGGCTTTAGAGTTGAGACTGTAATTGGAAATAGAGAGACCCGTGTTAATGCTGCTATCGTTCTAATAGTCTTCTTTTTCAACATTATATTAACGTTCGTATTGAAATAATTGGGGATGTATTCAGATTGTTTACTGACCACAGAAATGTTTTTGATTGCAGTAAAACGTTTTATGAACTTATCCGCCTTTGATATTTTTCAATCGAACAATGCACTCAATATATTTCTTATGAATATGGAAAGTGTATGTATGTATGTATGTATGTATGTATGCGTGTATGCGTGTATGTATGTATGTATGTATGTATGTATGTATGTATGTATGTATGTATGTATGTGTTTGTGTATGTGTGTGTATGTATGTATGTATGTATGTGTGTGTGTGTGTGTGTGTGTGTGTGTGTGTGTGTGTGTGTGTGTGTGTGTGTGTGTGTGTGTGTGTGTGTGTGTACGTTTGTTTGCGTGTCTGTTGTGTACATGTGTCTGCGTGTGTGTATGTGTTAGCGCGTTTGTGTGTGTTGGTGGTGTGTGTGTGTGTCATGTGTGAGTAAGTGTGTGTGTATGTGCTAGTTTGTGTATGTGCGTTAGTGTCTGTTTGTGTGTGTTAGTATATGTATGTTTGTTAGTGTGTGTGTGTCAGTATACATGTGTGTTATTGTTAGCATGTGTGTGCTAGTGTGTGTGTCTGTCTGTCTGTGTATTAGTGTATGTGAGTTGTGTGTGTTAGTGTTAGTGTTAGTGTGTGTGTTAGTATATGTGTGTGTTAATGTTAGTTTGTGTGTGTGCTAGTGTGTGTATGTGTGTTAGTGTCTATCTGTGTGTGTTAGTGTATGTGAGTGGTGTGTGTTAGTATATGTTGGTGTATGTGGGTGTTAATGTTAATATATGTGTGTTATGCTAGTGTGTGTATGTGTGTTAGTGTCTCTGTGTTAGTGTATATCTGTGTGTGTGAGTGGTGTGTGTGTGTGTGTGTGCTAGTCTGTGCATGTGTGTTAGTATATGTAAGTGGTGTGTGTGATCCGTATTGAACACTGACATTTAAAAGAGACATGCAGGAGAGATGTGTGCGTGTGCGTGTACGTGTACGTGTGCGTATAGCACTTTACTCTTATGTTTTAGAACCATTCCCTGTCAAGTTCTAAAACAAGCTAATGGCTGAGATCGTTATTGGCTGAGGTCATGTTCAGACCGTGGGAAGATATCATTCAATAAAAGAGACATTGTTTTCAAATCAAAGGTACAAAACCCTTTCAATATGCATAAGAAACATCTGCTAAAACAAGAGTCGATCGTCCAATTCTGACTGTGTTGATGAATCACTATCAAATGTGATGGCACCTGGTGTTCATGAAAAGTCGGGACGAGTGTCTCGGGGAGTTACATTTAATTAGTGACGTGAGGTGAAATGGGGTTTAACGTAGCGTCCAAGATTATTGCACTTGTATAGCGATGTAATGTTCAATTACATAAACAAACAAAACTTGGAGAACTTTCTGTTGTCCCTCAGTTGAGTAGTGTGTTCCAGTTTACGGCCGTGTGTGCGTGAGTGCGTGAGTGCGTGAGTGCGTGTAGTGTGTTCCAGTTTACGGCCGTGTGTGCGTGAGTGCGTGAGTGCGTGAGTGCATATAGCATATAGCGACGTGCATGCATGTGTGTGTGGCTGATTGTACTAGTCCGGACAGGTGCCAATTTATAGTGCTTGCCCACTTAGATACCATGCCGCAGTTTAACATGAATACCCCACTCAGACACAGTATACTGACTCCGAGCCGACAAGTCCTTGTTTTAGCCCCTTAATGCCGAGCACCAGACAGGGTAACAACAAGTAACATCTTTTAACGTCTTTTGGTATGACGCGACCGGGGATCGAACCACGGACCTTCCACTCTCAGGGCAGACCATTTGATTAGTGAACCAATGTCCTTGTGCTGGAGGCACTTCACAGGCTTGATTCTTCGTTGGAATTAAAGGGGCACCAATCTCTGGCGTCTTCTAGGGCTCACAAGCCGCCGTCAGTCGACGGACCGTCTATATACACGATATAGTGGACCAATGCCGGGCAATATACACGACTTGAAAACTCCCTTCTGATTGGTCCATTAATTTCCTACACAACAAACCTGGTTCCCGGTCTCAGTTGCGCTACGCTACATTGTATATTACTCCCCAAATGTTAACTCTACACCATAGTGCGGGTATCGTTTCTAAAAAGATATATCAAAGATAATAAAAATTCTTTACTTGTTGATAAAATTGTAATTACTTCTCTAAACATCTGTGAAGATATTAAGGTTTGCTACGGTAGATAAACCAGGTATCACAGTTAGTTAAAGGTTTTGCAGTCGTACAGTTATGTTGTGAACATAGAGATCATAAATATTTTGAGTAAACATACTTTACCTAATGAGATACTAGTTTTACGAAGCAGAATATTTATAGTTTAGTATTGTTGAACCATTTAAAATCAAAACATAATTTCCCCTATTAAAATACTACGAACCTTCTGGTAAAACAAAATTTACGAACTTTCTGTAAAAGAGCAAGCAATCTGAAGCAAGCATTTATTTTCCGCGTTTATATTGTTAAGGCTGTGGCTATTTATACTGAAAAGATCGGGGAGTTAACTCCCTTTTGTATTGCATATTGTCTGTTTGAAAGTATCATGTCAATTTGCTGCATGACTTGCCAATCCATTCAATAATTGGAATCCAATTTTAAAAATTAGTAATTTTCCAAACTCATGCACAAAGTTCAAACGCGTATATATAGAGGATATAATGAAATTCCCACAAGCGATATGATATGTATATATATGCTTCTGCTGTGTTCGTAATTTACAATGAATTGATAAATAATGAACGTGAGTCGATTTGCTCGCTAACGCAACTAAGCGTGACAAGAGACTGGGCTACCGTCTTGTAAAGCATTTTTGACCACTGTTTGGTTACCCGTGATCTATGAAGATTTCGACAAAGGGCGCATGTTAATTAATTTCTTCAGCCTTAACAAACAGACAAAAAGAACGACGGAAGCTCATCGGATGTCGTCATTTGGAAGTACCCCTGATGGTTATAGTTTAATAATAAAAAAGTATCCCTGCAGTGAAAGCATTTTCGGATTTCGGATTGCGTGGATAATACGATTACTACCCCCTTGTTGTCATCTATGTTTTCTGGTATAACCTAGTCCTGCACCATGACCGTGGAATATATTTATTTTATGAAAAAATAATAATCTAGAAATGCATACAAAAGCAAGTCTAGCCAGCTCAAGCTAGCTCTATTCCACACTGAAATCAGCATAGGGACTTTTTTTATTTTTAGAGTCAAGAGGATATTGTGTAATATAAGATTTCAGAGACTAAATGTTAGTCTAGGTATAACCCTACACTTGTGTATTTGTCTTCATTCACGTGATGCTCAGTTAATGAATTTATTACAGGTATAATTAGTGGCAGCACCACTCAGATTACACGATAAAGGCTCCCATTTGGCATTTCTTGTGTCTGGGGTAATTATTCAATCTAAATCCTGGTTTGAAGTGAGGTGAAATTTGTGTTATGTAATATGCACGTGGCAGCCCAGCAAGAGATGAATGATCAGTTGATTTACTTTTTTGTAAAGCAACTGAGCCATCAAAGGATAAACAGAAAATACATTGATTGATTAATCAATGTTATCTTGCACAGTGGATATGTCAAAAGTAAGTGTTTACATGTGTAGTTTTACTAAAGCAAAGGATACACTCATATCATGGCGTGAAGTGCCGATGTAAAAAACAACATACTTTGTTCAAAGGGTTAACCGATAATACGTTGATTGATTGCTCATTGTTATCTTACTCAGTGGATTATTTTAAGAACCGTGGGCTTTCTCAGCTGACCTTTGAGACTTGACACCTATGTGAAACACCTGAAACAAACTAAGTGATCAGTTGAGAAACAAACACGGGTTATAATATCCCGAAACGAAATAGATTAAAATATTTGATTGTTACCGAGACATCGAAAAAGTTTCTTTGTACAGCTGCAGACGTGTGGGATATTGTTCCTTTGTGTGGATATTCACGGATACATTCCTCGAACAAGGAAGCTGCCTAAAATTATACATATAAATATGGTAGGCGATAATTATGATAGTTGCATTTTGTTTTCCTTCATTTGCTGTCACAACAGATTCAATCTTGTTCCTCTTCCATCTACGTCTCGGTTGGGAAATTCTTCGATGCGCGACAGTCGATGTTTTCGCAAGTCTTTTCCTTTGTAAGCGTGTATATATTACAGTTAATTTGTAAAATGTGATTCACTCAGGCAATTTATAAAATGTCTAAGTATTTCAGTCATTTTACAAATTGACTGAAAAATCTGTCCATTTATTTAACAGAATGACTAAAAATGATTAAGACGGTCAAAAGGGCTTAAAAACATGACAACAGATTAATTATGCTAGGATTGGAAGCCAAACAAGATAGAAATGTACTTTTATAACATTTTCAGTCACTTGGTGATGATATTAAGCCTAAAATTGTCAGGAATTCGTTATCACAATAATACAGATGGACATATTTTTCAGTCAATTTGTAAAATAACTGAATTTTTAGGCGTTTAATAAATGTCCTAAGTGAACACTTTGCACATTTTGACTGTAAAAATATAAACACGATAAAATAAGCAATGTTCAGGTGAAATATTTACTTTGTGTTGCTAGTCAGAATAGTGTAAACGAAAAACGCACAATTACCAAGCAGGTGACTTATCAACACTTCGTCATCATTATCGATGCTACCCACAAAGATACCTACATTTCCTTATCATTTCCAAAACTGTATTTCATTTTGCTGATCAATGTGACCATACGCCCTTATACTATCAATAAAAGTGACAAATGCGCTTACGAATGGCGCAGCACAAGTCGCGAACAAGTCTAGATTTCTGCTATATCATCCGGGTACTCACGGTGAGAAATAAACGATAAAAAAGGCAACAACCGATCCCGGGGAATTGCTTAAGATCAGCATAGTTCCCATTCTACCTGTGCTTGTAAATGCTAATTTATGGCTCGGCGAACTGTTGCGTGTCACCGTACCTCAAAATACATGTATTGTTTATCATATCATTCCGATTGCCCAGTTCAAACAATATTATTTACAGGCCGCCTTCATAGAGCTGGAGTTAATATTGCTGAGTGCGGCGAGTTACCTTTGAATTCATGCGGCCGCTATGTGGCGTAGTTGTGGCGGATGTCTATTTTTAGCAAGCTAATGAAAATGAACGTCACATGAGCTCTGGTCCGTACATGAGCTCTATGCGAACCCTACCATTGTCAGACATTGAGACAGTGAGCAGAGCAGACGGCCAAGGCTTTAAAGAGTCGTCCCCCTCATAATTATGTTATCAAGCTCCTCACAGCGACATTCCGTTCGCAGAGCTCCCTGTACGATCGCTGCCACCAGTCAAAACTCCCCACAGGGATATATGACCACAACCATGCTTGGAGTTAAAGGAGGAGGAATGAGACACACAACATCCATGGTCTATGGCGCACAACTATGAGTGAGTGAGTTGGGTTTAACGCCGCTTTAAACAGTATTCCAGTAATATCACGGCGTGTCAGCTTGATGGGGGAGGAAAGCCCGAAGTGATGCAGGTCTTAGACGTTTACCACTTCTGTGAAACCCACGAGCACGGGTATGGTGCTGACAAATCTAGAAACATAATCGGGGCGAACCGGAATTCGAACCCACAATCATAGGTTTCTGGCCTGCCCAAGGGACGCAACTCTGCACAGCGAATCGCGGCGCCTTAGACGACTGGGCCACCCGTGCCCCCCGCACAACTATGAGCGGTTGACAGGCGTTTCATTGCTGGACAAAGATGCTATTGTACCGTTTGTACACAATACTAAAAAAAACGACTAAAAAGTTAAAAATAACGCGCATGACTTCAAACGAGATGCAAATTCATAATTAAAATTGTATTATTGATTCTAAAGTATTTAACATTAACAACCAAGAGTTAAATTTAAATGCCCCATATCAGATGCACTAATACTATTAAAATACATTAAATTGCTTTTATTCAGGATTGCATGTTTTATCCTACACTTAACCAAGGATAAAACGCATAAAACGCAACCTTAGATATAATGCATTATGTATGCCAGGAGAAACACAACAGCCGTGTGTATAAACTTTTCTATTAATCAGTGCTCGTAAAAATACAGGACAGTTCACATGAACGCATAGGCCATCATTAACAGATGTAACGTCAGCATTAAAGTTGCATTATTGATTCTAAAGTATATGTATATCATATGGTAAATTTCCCTAAATTCTTACCCGGATTCCCAGAGTGAGTGAGTGAGTATGGTTTTACGCCGCTTTTAGCAATATTCCAGCAATATCACGGCGGGGGACAGCAGAAATGAGCTTCACACATTGTACCCATGTCGGGAATCGAACCCGGGTCTTCGGCGTGACGAGCAAACGCTTTAACCACTAGGCTACCCGACCCACGAGCACGGGTATGGTGCTGACAAACCTAGAAACATAATCGGGGCGAACCGGGATTCGAACCCACAATCATAGGTTTCTGGCGTTTCAAAGGGACGCAACTCTGCACAGCGAATAGCGGCGCCTAAGACGACTCGGCCACCCGTGCCCCCTAGAGATTTAGGAAAGAGTACAGATACATATTTAAGGTATAGAAGTAACATAGATCACAACTACATCAAACCAAACGATTAAAAGAGGAAAATGATATATATAAGGTAGAATAAAACGCTTTAAACACAAGAGTTTGACATTGTTTAAAAGTGAAATAAACTCCCGGACATAAAAACGTAAACGGCAAATGTTTGATGGTGGCTTGGTATGAACTTCTGGTTTAAAAAAAATAAAAGTTAGATGCATGAATGTACTGACACAATCAAAATCTCAACGAAGTCAACATTTAAAATGACAGTCATACAGCATCCGATATTAGCAATGTTTCAACGGAATGGACAAGGTTGGTTGGTTGGTTGGTTTGTTGTTTAACGCCGCACTCAGCAATATTCCAGCTATATGACGGCGGTCTGTAAATAATCGAGTCTGGACCAGACAATCCAGTGATTAATATCATGAGCATCGATCCACGCAATTGGGATCGATGACATGCATCAACCAAGTCAGCGAGCCTGACCACCCGATCCCGTTATTCGCCTTTTACGACAAGCATTGTCGCCTTTTACGTCAAGCATAGAGAGAGCGGAAGGTCCGGGGTTCGATCCCCGACCGCGTCATACCAAAATAAGTTAAAAGATGGTACTTGTTGTTACCCTGTCTGGCGCTCGGCATTAAGGGGCTAAAACAAGGACTGGTCGGCTCGGAGTCAGTATACTGTGTCTAAGTGGGGTATTCATGTTAAACTGCGGCATGGTATCTCAGTCGGTTAGCATATGAATCGGCATCAGTCCGGACTAGTACAAGCAGCCACACAAACACACACACGTACATGCACTTCGCTATATAAGTGCAATAATCTTTGACGCGACGTTAAACCCCATTTCACCTTTGTAAAGATTTAATACCGTTTGTAATTGTTTGGTCAAATCGAATTTTCAAGTGTATACTTTTGTTTAACCGGTAGTTTACTACCTGGAAGAAAAGAATTGGCGCCATCACGAGCGTAATCTATAATGCATGTTTATGAAGACTATATCTATGGTAATAGAAGTATTGATAACGTTTTAATCTGTCACTAATGGTGCTATTACAAACCAATCACTCGTCGTCTTAAACAATACGGTTATTTGTTGCCACAAACCAATAGAGGCTGAGACACACGATCGCCCTGGAGCGAGCGTCCACCATCATCAAAAGATGAGCATCTTAACTGTGTTCCAATTTCAGTTGATACTGGAAAGAGTGATGCTGGTCAATCACAGTACATGTAGTACCATTGGGGGACAAGGGAGTAGGCCATCTTGTGCAAGGTTATGTCTACCGCCGTGCAGATCCTTTTTTCACAACAAAGCCCAACAATTGTGCATTTTGTCAAATGCAGAGTTCGAAAAAGATTACTCCAATTTAAGGAAGGCTGATGGGTGGAAATACTTCACCAAGACTTCGAGTGACTAACGTTTTTGTTGTCATGTATGTTTCTCTTGGATACCGTAAGATGTCCTTGACCCTCACCTGTCCTTGACCCCAACCTTGGTCACGGTTGCAACATTTAAGGACTTAGTAAAGCTTTCGAAAAGTTCGATGGTATCATGTAGAGAAAATTCAAACGTTGACTCATCGGTCGTAAAAAAAAATGTTTTATGCAATTTCCTATTTTTACACGTGCTATATGTCCCCGTGTTCTTTCTGAACAATTGACTTGCCTTTGCTTGTATTTTGATGGGTGCCACCAGTGGTAGTCAGTAGGCCACCAGCAGAAAAGAGGCTTAGTTTAGATTTTCGTTCCCACATTTTCCTGTATACCTTAAACCTTTTCTATTGCATAAAGAAGGATTCGTAAACAATTTACATTTGGTAGTAAGCTTGCACGTGTGCGCGTGAATTTTCAGGGGGTCATAATTACATAAATTGAAGGGAAAATGCATTATTTGAGAAAATCGGCTGTAACATTCTTATTAAGTCATTAAACTATCCAAATTATGTCTTTGATTACAGGTAATATGTTCGGTTATATGAATTTGGCAAACAGTTTGTTTCATTTCACTGTTCTAATTCTCAGTGAAAGCATTGATAAAAATAATGTTTTTTCCTACTTTTTTCAATTGTTGTGAGAAGGTAAAACACTAATTCCATTGAGTTTTGGCAATAAAACCACTATAACTTCATATCCCCTTCCCCCAAATACCAATTTTGACGAAAGTTGCTTATTGAGATATGGTTAAAAACACAAAAATGTTAAAATCGTAAACAAAATTGATGTTTCAAGTTTTTGTCAATGGTGGTCATCGCGAATTTCAAGATGGCCGCCATTTTGAACAGTGTTCAAAATCAAGATCAAATTTCATTCTTCAACGTGGTCATATAATATATCATATGAAAGCTTTTTACATTTTCTTTTTCAATGATGTATGTTATTAACTGACTTCTGTAGTAAAGTGATCCCTAACAATAAAACAAATGATATATTGAAAGCTAATTTCTCTAACGACCCCAACCCACTCCCTAAGTCAGTTTTCAATAAAAATGGACATAGTTTCACTCAGATTTTTTAGATATACTGCACTTTTGCCCGAGCATTTTACTAGTTTATCATTTGAGTGAAAAATAAGCCATGTTAATACTTGTAGTAGTTTGAAGTATAAAAAAAATACATCACATAGTCAAGGGCTGTGAAATAATGTCACCTCTAGTCACCGTCAGAGTCCATCTCTTCTGTAGAGGTAGGTAAGTTGTTTCTGTTAGCACATAGCACAACTGCATCCAAAGGAACATCCCATGTTCTTGGCGCAGCTACACCCGGATAAGGATCATCTGCTTATTGTGCATTTACAGGTGTGCAATTCTAGACACAGTTCTAGCATTAAAGAACTAGCATTCCCGCCTTAACAGAAACAACTTACCTACCTCTAAGAGATGGACTAGAAGTGACATTATTTCACAGCCCTTGACTCTGTGATCTAATTCTTATATACCGAGGTACTTCATAATACCTTAAGTATTCACGTGTTTTTTTCACTCAATTGATATACTAGTGAAATGCTCGGGCAAAAGCGCAGCATGTCTAAAATTTTGAGTGAAACTATGTCCATTTTAATTGAAATCTGACTTTGGGGCAGGGTTGTTGTCGCTAGAGAAATTAGCTATCACTATATCATTTGTTTTATTGTTATGGATCACTTTACCACAGAAGTCAGTGAATAACATACATCATTGAAAAAGAAAATGTAAAAAGCTTTCATATGATATATTATATGACCACGTTGAAGAATGAAATTAGATCTTGATTTTGAACACAGTTCAAAATGGCGGCCATCTTGAAATTCACGATGACCACCATTGATGTTCATAGAAAAACCTGAAACATCAATTTTGTTTACGATTTTAACATTTTTGTGTTTTTAAGCATTGTTGCAATTATCCCAATCATCCTTTACATTAACATAATCGACTACCATATCTCAATAAGCAATTTTCGTCAAAATTGGTATTTGGGGGAAGGGGTAGCATAAGGGGTATTTAATATATTTTAATTTTGTTTTCTGTATAGGATGGCACAATGGTTAAGGCAGATTTTGATATGAAGTTATAGTGGTTTTATTGCCCAAACTCAATGGAATTAGTGTTTTACCTACATACAACAATTGAAAAAGTAGGAAAAAACATGATTTTTATCCATATTTTCACTGAGAATTAGAATAACAGTGAAATGAAACAAACTGTTTGCCAAATTCATATAACCGAACATATTACCTGTAATTAAAGACATAATTTGGATAGTTTAATGACTTAATAAGAATGTTACAGCCGATTTTCTCAAATTATGCATTTTCCCTTCAATTTATGACATGTTGACCCCCTGGAAATTCACGCACACACTCGCAAACTTACTACCCAAAGACAATTGTGTACGATACCTTCTTTATGCAATAGGAAAGGTTTACGGTATACAGGAAAATGTGGGAACGAAAAAGGTTGTTTTTCAACCGTGGCCAACTGACTATGGGCAGGATATCATCTCATCTCCTGTTACATAAACTATATTTAATAGCTTTGTCGCTTGGATCTATTGGAATAGTTCCACGTGGAGTTGTCAACATTAAGCTTGTGGTGTTGATGAGTTGGAACACGTCTACGACCAAAACAAACCTCACTCCCTGAAGGGCAAACAGCGAATTGCACGCCTATGTGACATCACTTTTGCCAGGTACCAGCCCCTGCGCTGACGTGCAGTACAGACAGGTGGAGTCGATAGGGATGTGTGTCAAGTTTGTCACAGCACATGACAACTACGGTCATCAAAGAGCCCTGTGTGAAGCCCAGCCCAGGGGACGGGTTGTCAATCTCGACACCAGTGCCAAGATTGCAGCCATTGACACCATACACAGAGCAGACTATAGTAAGTTACTAAGGCACAAGATAGACTTCTGTATGTTCCTAGTGGAGAGCGGAAGATCGGTGTTTCGATCCCCAGCCTCGTCATACAAAAAGACGTTGAAAGATGGTACTTGTTGTTACCCTGCCTCGCGCTCGGCATTAAGGGGCTAAAACAAAGACGGGTCGGCTCGGGGTCAGTATTCTGTGTCTCAGTAGGGTATCTATGTTAAACTGCCGCATGGTATCTCAGCACTGTAAAAGCAGCATTAGTCTAATACAACTATAGCATGCGCGTCGCTATATAAATGGAAAAGACCCGTGAAGACCAGGGGTAGAATAGGTCTTCAGCAACCCATGCTTGCTGTAAAAGGCGACTGTGCTTGTCGAAAGGGGCGACTAACGGGATCGGGTGGTCAGGCTCGCTGACTTGGTTGATGCATGTAATCATATCCCAATTGCGTGGATCGATGCTCATGATGTCAATCATTGGATTGTTTGGTCCAGAGTCGATTATTTACAGACCGCCGTCATAAAGCTGGAATATTGTTGAGTCCGGCGTTAAACAACAAACAAACAAAAAAGAATAATCGGGAACGCGATGTTAAACACCATTTCACCTAATCTCACCTTCCCTCTGTTCATTCCAGTACGGGGCCGCTATTCGCTGTGCAGAGTTGCGTCCCTTGAGCACGCCAGAAACCTATGATTGTGGGTTCAAATCCCGGTTCGCCCCGATTATGTTTCTAAGTTTGTCAGCACCATACCTGTGCTCGTGGGTTTCACCGAAGTGGTAAACGCCTGAGGCCTGCATCATTCGGGCTTTCCTCCCACATTAAGCTGACACGCTGTGATATAACTGGAATAGTGTTTAAAGCGGAGTTAAACCCAACTCAATCACTCACTCACTCACTCATTCCTGTACGTTCTGATTATATTTCTAGGTTTGTCGTCAAACCATACATGCGGTCATGAGGTTCCATCATTGTCTACCTACTGTGGGGTAACATCCTTGTGGGGTAACATCCTTGTGGGGTAACATCCTTTTGGAGTAACAACCTTTTGGGGTAACATCTTTGTGGGGTAACATCCTTGTGGGGTAACATCTTTGCGGGGTAACATCCGTGTGGGGTAACATCCGTGTGGGGTAACATCCGTGTGGGGTAACATCTTTGTGGGGTAACATCCTTGTGGGGTAACATCTTTGTGAGGTAGCATCCTTGTGGGGTAACATCTTTGTGAGGTAACATCTTTGTGGGGTAACATCTTTGTGGGGTAACATCCTTGTGGGGTAACATCCTTGTTGGGGTAACATCCTTGTGGGGTAACATCCTTGTGAGGTAACATCTTTGTGGGGTAACATCTTTGTGGGGTAACATCCGTGTGGGGTAACATCCTTGTGGGGTAACATCCTTGTGGGGTAACATCCTTGTGAGGTAACATCTTTGTGGGGTAACATCCTTGTGGGGTAACATCCGTGTGGGGTAACATCCTTGTGAGGTAACATCCTTGTGGGGTAACATCTTTGTGGGGTAACATCCTTGTTGGGTAACATCCTTGTGGGGTAACATCCTTTTGGGTAACATCTTCGTGAGGTAGCATCCTTGTGGGGTAACATCCGTGTGGGGTAACATCCTTTTGAGGTAACTTCCTTGTGGGGTAACATCTGTGTGGGGTAACATCCTTGTGGGGTAACATCTTTGTGGGGTAACATCCTTGTAGGGTAACATCCTTGTGGGGTAACATCTTTGTGGGGTACCATCCGTGTGGGGTAACATCTTCGCGGGGTAACATCTTTATGGGGTAACATCTTTGTGGGGTAACATCCTTGTGGGGTCACATCTTTGTGGGGTAACATCTTCGTGGGGTAACATCTTTCTGGAGTAACATCCGTGTGGGGTAACATCTTTGTGGGGTAACATCCTTGTGGGGTAACATCCTTGTGGGGTAACATCCTTGTGAGGTAACATCTTTGTGGGGTAACATCCTTTGTGGGGTAACATCCTCTATTGGGTAACATCTTTGTGGGGTAACATCCTTGTGGGGTAACATCTTTGTGGGGTAACATCTTTGTGGGGTAACATCGATGTGGGGTAACATCTTTATGGGGTAACATCTTAGTGGGGTAACATCCTTGTGGGGTAACATCTTTGTGGGGTAACATCTTTGTGGAGTAACATCCTTGTGGGGTAACATCTTTGTGGGGCAACATCTTTGTGGAGTAACATCCTTGTGGGGTAACATCTTTGTGGGGCAACATCTTTATGGGGTAACATCTTAGTGGGGTAACATCCTTGTGGGGTAACATCTTTGTGGGGTAACATCTTTGTGGGGTAACATCTTTGTGGAGTAACATCCTTGTGACGTAACATCCTTGTGGGGTAACATCCTTGTGGGGTAACATCTTTGTGGGGTAACATCCTTGTGGGGTAACATCTTTGTGGGGTTACATCCTTGTGACATAACATCCTTGTGGGGTAACATCATTTTGGGGTAACATCCTTGTGGGGTAACATATGTGTGGGGTCACATCCTTGTGGGGTAACATCTTTGAGGGGAAACATCTTTGTGGGGTAACATATGTGTGGGGTCACATCCTTGTGGGGTAACATCTTTGAGGGGAAACATCTTTGTGGGGTAACATATGTGTGGGGTCACATCCTTGTGGGGTAACATCTTTGAGGGGAAACATCTTTGTGGGGTAACATCCTTGTGGGGTAACATCCGTGTGGGGTAACATCCTTGTGGGGTAACATCCTTGTGAGGTAACATCTTTGTGGGGTAACATCCTTGTGGGGTAACATCTTTGTGGGGTAACATCTTCGTGGGGTAACATCCTTGTTGGGGTAACATCCTTGTAGGGTAACATCCTTGTTGGGGTAACATCTTTGTGGGGTAACATCTTTGTGGGGTAACATCCTTGTGGGGTAACAACTTTATGGGGTAACATCTGTGTGGGGTAACATCCTTGTGGGGTAACATCTTTGTGGGGTAACATCTTTGTGGGGTAACATCCGTGTGGGGTAACATCTTTGTGGGGTAACATCTTTGTGGGGTAACATCCTTGTGGGGTAACATCTTTGTGGGGTAATATCTTTGTGGGGTAACATCCGTGTGGGGTAACATCTTTGTGGGGTAACATCCTTGTGGGGTAACATCTTTGTGAGGTAGCATCCTTGTGGGGTAACATCTTCGTGGGGTAACATCTTTGTGGGGTAACATCTTTGTGTACGGTGTAAACTATATGTACCAATCATTCCCTGTAGACTATCCACAGCGTATGTCTTCGAGTCAGACGTTTCCTCATAATTGTTGCTTCTATTTCAGAGAACAAGGGGTTCTTCATCGGACTGACCAGAGTTATGGGGGGTGACTATCAGTGGACAGGTGGATTCCGCGTCACTGCCGCCAAGTGGGCCCCCAGGGAACCCGGCAAGCATAAAAACGACCTGTGCGTCCTGCAGGCGCCCTGGTTTGACTACAGATGGGACGACATCTACTGCACAGATGCATTTGGCATAATCTGTGAGGTCGTTTTTTAACCAGTTCACAGAATATACTTGACTTTCGCTGAAGATTTCACTTCTCTCGCAAGGATTACACTTTATGCGTTTGTCATTTAAGGGATAATTGACTTGGCGAGGACCAAGTAACAGTTCTTGCGGGAAGATAACTACAGTTTCTGACTGCAGTGTGACTAATCTGTTTGTTTACAACACTGCACTGATTATTACTTCTTTCGACTGGGTACCGACCTGTAGGGATACTTATATATTTGACATATGTTACAGAGCAACCCCAACCCCAACTCCGACCCATTTTGGAAAGCCAAATATAGTTTGTTGTTGTCAGTAGAATTACTTGAGAGAGTATTTTTTATATATTTTGAAGCCCTCCCTTTTAAAAATGCTGGATCCATCCTTGGTAGGGTTCTCTTTTCAATCTATTGTACCAACTAACCTGACATTCGCATCCCTCATTGGTCGCCCAACTTATTCGCATCCCTCCCTCTATGGTCGGCCAAATTATTCGCATCCCTTCCTTCATGGTCGCCCAACTTATTCGCATCCCTCATTGGTCGGCCTAATTATTCGCATCCCTCGCTCAATGGTCGCCCAAATTATTCGCTTCCCCTAATGGTCGCCCATCTTATTCGCATCCCTCCCTCCATTGTGGCCCAACTTATTCGCATCCCTCATTGGTCGGCCAAATTATTCGCATCCCTCCCTCCATGGTCGCCCAACTTATTCGCATCCCTCCCTCAATGGTGGCCCAACTTATTCGCATCCCTCCCTCAATGGTCGCCCAACTTATTCGCATCCGTCCCTCAATGGTCGCCCAACTTATTCGCATCCCTCCCTCAATGGTCGCCCAACTTTATATCGCATCCCTCCCTCAATGGTCGCCCAACTTTATATCGCATCCCTCCCTCAATGGTCGCCCAACCTATTCGCATCCCTCCCTCATTGGTTGCCCAACTTATTCGCATCCCTCCCTCAATGGTCGCCCAACTTATTCGCATCCCTCCCTCAATGGTCGCCCATCTTATTCGCATCCCTCCCTCAGTGGTCGCCCAACTTATTCGCATCCCTCCCTCAATGGTGGCCCAACTTTTTCGCATCCCTCCCTCAATGGTCGCCCAACTTATTCGCATCCCTCATTGGTCGGCCAAATTATTCGCATCCCTCCCTCCATGGTCGCCCAACTTATTCGCATCCCTTATTGACCGCCCAACTTATTCGCATCCCTCCCTCAATGGTGGCCCAACTTATTCGCTTCGATTTCAAAGGAAATGTGTTTGAAACTTTAGTATTGTTGAAATAAAGCCTTCTGTCTTCAAAGGAGTCCGGATTATTTGAGAGTCACTTTGTTTTCGTTCACATGTTTTCATTCATATTGGGTATTTGGTCGATGTGTTTGGAAATTCAATATAGTTTAACCCCCTTGGACCTAATCTTCTGTGCATTTTAAATAATTATGATTAAATTGCTGTTTCAGGTAACTTCTAACTTTCGACTGTTCATGTGTTACCCTAGTGCCACACAAGCTCACATTGTGACACATGCGCAGCTTATCTGGAACTGTGAGGCGATTTACCTTTACAGATTCGACAAAGATAATGTACTGCACGTAAATATAAAAAGTCAGCGCCAGAGAATGACCAGTCTCGATTATCCGCCTAAACAGATTCCATTGCGCGAACAAAGCAAAATAGCAGCGAACATTACATGAGTGAGTGAGTATGGTTTTTACGCCGCTTTTAGCAATATTCCAGCAATATCACGGCGGGGGACACCAGAAATGGGCTTCACACATTGTACCCATGTCGGGAATCGAACCCGGGTCTTCGGCGTGACTGGTGAACGCTTTAACCACTAGGCTACCCAACCGCCCCTAAACATTATATGAATGGATAACTGAGCATCAGTCATAATAAAAAGTATTCGCGACCCTTACCCTACTTGGTAAGATGACAGTTATTAAAGCATTATTAAAGCATTATTAAAACATTTTATCAAAGCATTATTAAAACATTTATCAAAGCATTATTAAAACATTAATAAAACATTATTAAAGCATTATTAAAACATTATGAACTCAGTATTAGCTAATCTACCATTTATTGGAGCGCCTATGTGGTCTAATGGTAGAGTGTCCGCCCGGAGTGGTAAACATCAAAGCTGCGTTAAACCCAGCTCTCTCATTCAAAGCACTACCAGTGCTGTAACTCCTTTACTCAATATCATATATATAATTTATATAGGACTATCTCCGTGGTCTAATGGTAGGGCGTCCGCCCGGAGAGCGGAAGGTCCGGGGTTCGATCCCTGGTCGTGTCATACCAAAAGACGTTAAAAGATGGTACTTGTTGTTACCCTGTCTGGCGCTCGGCATTAAGGGGCTAAAACAAGGACTGGTCGGCTCGGAGTCAGTATACTGTGTCTGAGTGGGGTATTCATGTTAAACTGCGGCATGGTATCTCAGTGGGCTAGCATTATAAATCGGCATTAGTCTGGACTAGTACAAGCAGCCACACATACACGTGCATGCACGTCGCTATATAAGTGCAATAATCCTGGACGCGACGTTAAACCCCATTCCACCTCACCTCGACACCATTTATTGAGAAAATCACTCACTCACTTTAATTATTCCACTCCTTTTCTTGAATTATAAAAGTAGCAGTTTCCTAACACGATAAACAGCGAATGGCATTCTTGATACTGAGATATAATGAAATATTTGAAAGTGAAGTTCTCATAGATGACATTTTGTTCAGTTCATAACCTATATATTATTAAGGACATTGTGATCCGTGACTTTTATCAAACCACGGGCATCTGTTGTTGTGCTCTGATAAATGTTTCACCTTCGGCCTCGTAGGATCAAAGGTAAATAATAATAATAATAACAATAACAATAACAATAATAATAATAATAATAATAATATAGAGGGCGTCGTGGAAAATGATAAATACAAAAATATTTGGAATAGGCCCGTTTACAGCCTCAGACTATCCAGGCCAACAAACCTGATCTTGTCCTTTTTGATAAACCCAATGTAATCATATATATCATTGAATTTTAGGTCCCTTTTGACACTAATGTCATCGACAAGACTAAAGAAAAAAACACCAAACAAACAAACAAATCTTAGGCGCCGCAATTCGCTGTGCAGAGTTGCGTCCATTGGGCAGCCAGAAACCTATGATCTTGGGTTCAAATCTCGGTTCGCCCCGATTATGTTTCTTGGTTTGTGAGCTCCATATTCGTGCGTTTCACCAAAGTGGTAAACGTCTGAGTCGTGCAACGCTGGCGTGACAAAGGACGCTACTTTGCTCAGCGAATTGCGTGGCTCGATGCTCATGATGTCAATCACTGGATTGTCTGGTCCAGACTCGATTATTTACAGTGCGCCGTCATATAGCTGGAATATTGCTGAGTGCGGCGTTAAACAACAAACAAACAACAATTAACACCTGTTAGCCACTCATAGCCGTGTGTTGTAGCAATGGCGGTTGTGTTTCTCCCTCTTCTGGCAGTCGGGGGCACGGGTGGCCCAGTCGTCTAAGGCGCCGCGACTCGCTGTGCAGAGTTGCGTCCCTTGGGCACGCCAGAAACCTATGATTGTGGGTTCGAGTCCCGGCTCGAACCGATTATGTTTCTAGGTTTGTCAGCACCATACCCGTGCTCGTGGGTTTCGTCGAAGTGGTAAACGTCTGAGACCTGCATCACTTCGGGCTTTCCTCCCACATTAAGCTGACACGCCGTAATATAACTGGAATACTGTTAAAAGCGGCGTTAAACCCAACTCACTCACTCACTCTTCTGGCAGTCATTATTATAACCAAGATTGCATTTTATTTTTAGTACTGCCCTAAGTTCCCCTTGATTAACGCCGGTTGACTCAGGTTGAATATTCAACCTTGGTTGCCAGAAATGTGGTAACATCGGTTGACTCGGGTCGGATGATTTGTTCTTGGGACAGATATCCCCGAAAACTACCAAAGAGATATTACGTACGCTTCAATTGGATATATTCGAAAATCCATTTTCAATTGGATTTTTGTACAAATCGATTTGATATAAACAATTATCACATTGTTCCGTATGCCCAATAGATTCCTCTTCCCAATAAACATTTTTTGGATCGGCGTATTTTCACAAATAACCTGATCACATATTTTGTGGACCCGTGAAGATTCCGGGGTAGAATAGGTCTTCAGCAACCCATGCTTGCCGTAAAAGGTGACTATGCTTGTCGTAAAAGGCGACCAACGGGATCGGGTGGTCAGGCTCGCTGACTTGGATGATATATGTCATCGATTCCAATTGGGTGGATCGATGCTCATGATGTCAATCACTGGATTGTCTGGTACAAACTGGATTATTTTACAGACCGCCGTCATATAGCTGGAATATTGCTGAGTGCGGCGTTAAACAACAAACAAACAAACAAACTTAAGATTTAACCAAGAAATTCTCGTTGTGGATATTTCTCTTCATTTTCTTTCTTATGCGGTTCTTTGTTGTGCAATATCGTCAGAATGAAACGTCTTTCCTGTAGGCAAATACTGTATATTTGCAACACACAATGTTTATTTGCTATAAATAGTATCAAACAAGTGAGTTTTAGTGACTGGTATTAAACACTTATAGAAGAGGGTCGCTGTGTTCGCAACTTTTGATAGTCCAAAACTAATACATGGTCCTGTCAATGTGTAAAATTACATTTTTCACTTAGGCAATTTACATAAAGCAAAAATATTTCAGTCATTTTACAATTATTTGTCCATTTATTTTATTATGATAATGAATTCCAAACATTTTATGCTCTATTTCATCACCCAGTGTTTTTTTTGTTTTGTTTGTTGTTTAAGGCCGCACTCAGCAATATTCCAGCTATATGACGGCGGTCTGTGAATAATCGAGTCTTGACCAGACAATCCAGTGATTGATATCATGAGCATCGATCCACGCAATTGGGATAGGATGACATGTATCAACCAAGTCAGCGAGCCTGACCACCCGATCCCGTCAGTCGCCTTTTACGACAAGCATGGGTTGCTAGACAACTAGACAGACAGACAAACAGACATAGTGACAGACCTTATTCAGTACTTTAGGCCTTAGGCTCATTATACAAACAAGATGGATAAATTAATTAACATCGACAAAATATATATCTCAGGACCTAAAAATCAACATACAATTTGTCAACATACAATTTTGTCAAAGTCCATTATATATTTTTTGCAGTAGCCATTGATTTGGCGCAGGACTGGAGCATTTATATTTCAAATCGCGAGAGTTTAAGAACTGCCACAATGTATAGTAACAATACAAGCATCGTCGAGTTAAAGGTTCGGATAATAAATAAATAATAAATATAACATGTAGGTGTTGCATCATCATCATCATCATCATCATCATCATCGTCGTCGTCGTCGTCACCATCATCATCGCCGCGGTCCATACGACCTTAATCTTGGAGATGCAAATCAGTAGCCGAAAACACTCTTTGGTTCAAGTGGAAAGTCGTTAGAAATATCCTCATACGAACTGCCTGCTATACCCATGCAGCACCTACTGGCTTTTCGATATCACAACTTATTTCGATATCACAAATATGTCCGATTGTTTTGCCATGCTAAGAGACGATCTCACCAATGATGAAACTGTACGGCGTTAGGTAGTATACGTCCGTTTCATATAAAAGGGTCAGCGCATGACACGCGCAATTTTTGTTGTTGAAATTTTCATTATTACCAGAGTCGCAGAGTAATACAGTATTCCGTTAAAAACATTTTTCAGATTGCATAAAATGACACAATACACTCTTTAAAATTTAAAGGTTTGGAAACAAACATTGTCCTTTTTCAAACCTAAAAGGTTGCAACACACAATCAGACTCAAACAAAACATGTATCAACAGAGAGCTAAGAATCAAATGCTGAGAATAAAAGTGACTATTTGTTGTTAAAGTTATCTTTTCATCCTTTTTTTATCCTTTGTCATCAGTGGTATGCTATTTTGTAATGTTCATATATGTATATATGTATATTCATAAAGATTGTCTTCACTGGTATGTGAGTGTATATCGTACGGCCGTGGCATGTTTGACTTAATAAAACTGTTTCAAGATACGTCATGAACCTATATCGCCTCTACAAAACTTTACCGAACAGAGTATTTTATACATATTTTAAACATATTGTACATTAAAATAACATATTATACCTACATATCACGTACCTCCATATATATATATATATACACGACCACTATATACAACAAGAATTTACTTACTGTTGAAGATGAATGTATTTTCTTCTAAAGCGTTTAAGCGTTTGTCCATTGAACACTACATGTGACTTTCTTTAAAGTTCCCATGCCCAATGAAGATCCGGGGTAGAATAGGTCTTCAGCAACCCATGCTTGCCGTAAAAGGCGACTATGCTTGTCGTAAGAGGCGACTAACGGGATCGGGTGGTCAGGCTCGCAGAAA